GTGGGCCGAGAGTATTCCATCCCGAGGATGATTGGACTCATAGTAGGTTGGCATTCCAACCCGATGGTTGAAGGCTTGGGGTATTCCATCCCGATGGATGATTGGACCCATAGTAGTTGTTGCATGTGTAGGTGTGTGGGCATTCCAACCCGATGGTTGTGGGCCGAGAGTATTCCATCCCGATGATGATTGGACTCATAGTATGTTGGCATTCCAACCCGATGGTTGAGGACCAGGGGTATTTCAACCCGATGGTTGACTGGACCCATAGTATGCTGTTCATTGCTTTACGTGTATGGTTGTGTGTATGGGTATTCTGGGGGTAACTCACTAAGCTTTCGGCCTTACAGTTTCAGTTTATTGTTTCAGGTACATCAGGAGATCGTGGCAAGGCAAAGGCGTGATCGTACAACCCCTCACTTTTTATGACTTTGTTTCTGGGATACTCTGATATGATACATTTTGAAAACAAGTTTTGTAATAGTTAATGGATTTGTAATGTTTTTAAAAAGGTTTAAATTGGATTGAATTTTTGGGTGTTACGTGGCTAAAGAAGGAAGGGGACATGAGGTTATAATGACGTTTATATAGGGCCAGACCCCTAAAAATTAGGGTTTGCATGATCTTCATGTGCGCCCTGTGTACGAGGTGTACGCCCAACGTACTACGACGTGCCCTAGTACGCTTAGCGTACAGATGTACACTCGGCGTACTCCCCAAAGTATGAATTTACCAAAGTGCCATTGTGGGCCCCTTTTGCACTCTTTCTTTTACTTAGGGACCAAAATGCAATATAATTCAATTATAGACTCAAAATTAGAAGTACCTCATCATTGGGATGTTACAACTACAACTTTAATTTAGACTTCATCGGATAATTCTCATTTTATTTTTAATTTTTACAATCAATAAAGAATACACTGTAAATTATTTGCAAAATTCGTAACTTTTTCATACAAATACAGTTCTTGACGTTCTTTATACCGACTGTTTCATATTTTCAAGGACATCAACTTTCGTTTAGATTGTTTTTTATAACGAGTAACCCATCTTCATCTCACTTTTAAGACACACATATTGTATCGTGTCGAACGCGAAACTTCGAAAAATCATACAAAGTCAAAATTTTGCATTCTTTTTACTCACGGGTTCGTAATTACGATTACTACGATTTTCGTTTAGATCATTTATCCTAAATTCGCTTTTATCAAAAATGTTATTTTATTTCTTAACTATTAATTTAATATTAAAATTTTCTACAAATATTATATACTCATAATATTTGTCCTTATAATGTGTATACAATAAATAAATATTTATTTGACTCGTAACCTTTACGAATAACAATTATTCGACAATATGAATAATAATAATCGTTATCCCTTAAATGTCTAGCCTGGAATCGCGGACGTTAAATGCAACCTACTATTTCCTTGTCCACAATCGAACCAGAGTACATGTTAGTGGCCTTAATCAATAAAGGAGTGCATGTGGTTTGCTACACGGTCTCGTTTAGAATCTTGGTTTGAAGGTGGAGAAACATGTCTTGTTTTATGATAGTTAGGTAGTGTTTGTTTTTTGTCTGCAGATCTGCGTGACCTCTTCTGTCTGCGCCGCGCAGACCACGCGCAGACATTAGCCTTCGCAGACTGTTTGTTTTTTTGAAGACTGCAGACCTAAAAAAGTCTGTGCGCCCTCTTCTTGGCGCAGATGTGGACTAGAGTCTTCTAACATCTTCTACCCTAAAAAAACATATATATCTTTATTTTTTAAAGTTTTTTTTAATTTATATTTTTTCCAACTTTATTAATGATAAAACAATTTGAAAAAAAAATTACAAGACTTAAAAAAAACGTTCGACGATACAAACATGATATTTTTGACAAATTTATAAATAAAGATTATTACAATAA